AACAATCATGTATTTATAAACTTTACGTATTACAAAATGTATATTACAGAAAACAAATAGAAAAATTAACAAACTACGATAGTAAGAACATAGAGAAATAGAAAGATCAGTAATACGAGGCCATAACAAAATTTATTCAAGTCCACATTCACAAACACACTTCCTTTTTTGTTGCTGGAACCATTTAATAAAACACTGTCGTAAAACTTTAGACCTCTTAAAAGTGTCTATGTACGAAGTCCAGAGACCTATCATAATATGAAAATGCCAGGTCAATATGTCGTGCACTGTATATTTTTGATCAGCTAAAATAAGTAAAAATGGTATTGTAATTGTTTTTTGATATTGGGTGATATACAGGGTGTCCCAGAACTAATACTACGCCCGAAAATGGGGAAGAAATGAGGTGATTTTAAACAATATTTTCCGTTGCAAACAAGTTGTCCGAGGCGTGGTTGTTGAATTATTAACGAAAATCCGGTACCAATCAGACCGCTCGTATAGCGGACACACAAGGGAGAAACAACTGCCTTTGAAACTGCCGCACCCGTATGTCACGATCGTAACGAAACGTAAGATTAGAACAAAAGTTACATGCAAGAGCAACTAAGAAATTGTTTCAATATTACAGAAAACAAAGATATTAGTCGTTAGTTATGTTCGCTGAGTAAATGTACTCAATGTAACATACTCAATGAAACAACTAACAACTTTACAACAAATTACAGAGTAGCTAAAATTATAAAGAATAGGAAAAGAGTTAGAGATTAACTTAGTCAATCGTCTTTAACTTCACCTGCTCCTAGAAGAATTTCAGTGAGTCAATGTGCCGAAGCTTGACACTCGAAAGTAAAACACATGGCCATGTCTGTCAGTGACCTGCTCTAAACATCACTCCTGCCCATCGAACTTTGATACTTGAAGATAAAACACATGGGCAGCAGTGATGTTTAGAGTGAAGTCATTGACCGATATGGCAATGTTGTGGCATACGGGTGCCGCAGTTTCGAAGGCAGTTGCTTCTCCCCTATGTGTCCGCTATACGAGCGGTCTGATTAGTACCGGTTTTTCGTTAATAACTCAACAACCACGCCTCGGACAACTTGTTTGCAACGGAAAATATTGTTTAAAATCACCTCATTTCCTCCCCATTTTAGTATTAGTTCTGGGACTTCCTGTATAGACTGCGGATTTTTCTGGATTTATAGAAAATGTGCACGTATGAAAATTCACCTATTGTTTACAGGGTGTTCTAGAAAAAGTGTGTGAGCCGAAGAGAGGTGATTCTGGAAGTATTTCTGAGCAACAATTTTCTTTGTCAAAATGCAAAGTGAGGTATGGTTTTTAAATTATTAACGAAAAACACTAACCAATAAGAGCGCGTGTAGGGCTCACGCTATGCCACAGCCGAGTGTTACGATCCGAGCCAACCTACCCGTGGCTGGACACGGGCCCTACGCGTGCTCTTATTGGTCAGTGTTTTTCGTTAATAATTTAAAAACTATGGCTCACTTTGCATTTTACCAAAGGAAATTGTTGTTCAGAAACATCTCCAGAATTACCCCTTTTCGGTTTTAACACTTTTTCTGGGACACCCTGTACAATCTCCAAAAATACACAAAGCAATTAATGTAAATCTCACATTATGAAATTCTAAAAGTTGAAAAATCTGCATAAACAATTTATATTCCTAAACATNGTATATTACAGAAAACAAATAGAAAAATTAACAAACTACGATAGTAAGAACATAGAGAAATAGAAAGATCAGTAATACGAGGCCATAACAAAATTTATTCAAGTCCACATTCACAAACACACTTCCTTTTTTGTTGCTGGAACCATTTAATAAAACACTGTCGTAAAACTTTAGACCTCTTAAAAGTGTCTATGTACGAAGTCCAGAGACCTATCATAATATGAAAATGCCAGGTCAATATGTCGTGCACTGTATATTTTTGATCAGCTAAAATAAGTAAAAATGGTATTGTAATTGTTTTTTGATATTGGGTGATATACAGGGTGTCCCAGAACTAATACTACGCCCGAAAATGGGGAAGAAATGAGGTGATTTTAAACAATATTTTCCGTTGCAAACAAGTTGTCCGAGGCGTGGTTGTTGAATTATTAACGAAAATCCGGTACCAATCAGACCGCTCGTATAGCGGACACACAAGGGAGAAACAACTGCCTTTGAAACTGCCGCACCCGTATGTCACGATCGTAACGAAACGTAAGATTAGAACAAAAGTTACATGCAAGAGCAACTAAGAAATTGTTTCAATATTACAGAAAACAAAGATATTAGTCGTTAGTTATGTTCGCTGAGTAAATGTACTCAATGTAACATACTCAATGAAACAACTAACAACTTTACAACAAATTACAGAGTAGCTAAAATTATAAAGAATAGGAAAAGAGTTAGAGATTAACTTAGTCAATCGTCTTTAACTTCACCTGCTCCTAGAAGAATTTCAGTGAGTCAATGTGCCGAAGCTTGACACTCGAAAGTAAAACACATGGCCATGTCTGTCAGTGACCTGCTCTAAACATCACTCCTGCCCATCGAACTTTGATACTTGAAGATAAAACACATGGGCAGCAGTGATGTTTAGAGTGAAGTCATTGACCGATATGGCAATGTTGTGGCATACGGGTGCCGCAGTTTCGAAGGCAGTTGCTTCTCCCCTATGTGTCCGCTATACGAGCGGTCTGATTAGTACCGGTTTTTCGTTAATAACTCAACAACCACGCCTCGGACAACTTGTTTGCAACGGAAAATATTGTTTAAAATCACCTCATTTCCTCCCCATTTTAGTATTAGTTCTGGGACTTCCTGTATAGACTGCGGATTTTTCTGGATTTATAGAAAATGTGCACGTATGAAAATTCACCTATTGTTTACAGGGTGTTCTAGAAAAAGTGTGTGAGCCGAAGAGAGGTGATTCTGGAAGTATTTCTGAGCAACAATTTTCTTTGTCAAAATGCAAAGTGAGGTATGGTTTTTAAATTATTAACGAAAAACACTAACCAATAAGAGCGCGTGTAGGGCTCACGCTATGCCACAGCCGAGTGTTACGATCCGAGCCAACCTACCCGTGGCTGGACACGGGCCCTACGCGTGCTCTTATTGGTCAGTGTTTTTCGTTAATAATTTAAAAACTATGGCTCACTTTGCATTTTACCAAAGGAAATTGTTGTTCAGAAACATCTCCAGAATTACCCCTTTTCGGTTTTAACACTTTTTCTGGGACACCCTGTACAATCTCCAAAAATACACAAAGCAATTAATGTAAATCTCACATTATGAAATTCTAAAAGTTGAAAAATCTGCATAAACAATTTATATTCCTAAACATATGTTTAAAAAAATATGATTTTACCTGCAAAAAACCCGCAATCTAGTGATACATTATATATTATGCGTCTTACGGTCTAAGGTCCTTATCACAAATCTCGCTATCAGCTCATTAGTATATTTTATAATGTCAAATATAGTTGTAACGTTCTCCTGTACACGGCTACCAAACAGTTGGATAAGCAGATACCGAGCACGTTTTGCTTGCACTGAAAATGACCGTTCCAATATCGAAAATAATATATTTTGTTTCTTAATTGTGTCCTGAAGGACAATCTTCCTTAATTTCAATACTGTAAAATTTTTTAGTCGGCTATCTAAAATTCTGAAACAATTTTATAATTCATTTACATTTTTTTACGATCTTTTTCTAATTCTCAATCTAATTAAATGAATGTTTCCTAACTCCTCTATTCGATGTTACTTATGATAAACAACAGTAAATAATAATATTAGGTTGTCCGGAAAATTCGTTCCGATTTTTGATCGGTGGATTAATACAGACCTATATCAGGATGATTAAAAAGAAATGATATGTATACATATTCTAAAAGGCGATCCTTCAGGCATCTTTATAAAAAGTAATTATTCAGTGAGATTATGCTGATAATAAAGTAAGTGTTACAGAATGAAGCCAAAATCGAAGTTACAAGGGATAGAGTCTTCAAGTTACATGAAAATGAGAAAGAGTGGAACAAAATAGTATGTACATAATTCAATAAATTAATAAATATGCATTAAAATTTAAATACGCTGCCTTTAAATTTTCTACAAAAATCTAAACAAACCTTCTGGACAACCCAATATGATGAACAAAATAAATCGATTCTTAAGGGGATTCTACAGATAATGGAGTTAACAATCAGATTCTTATAACATTTAGTATATTGTTGGATAAGGATTTTAAGAAGACATGGATAAATTTTGACAGACCGTGGGTACCTAAGAAGACAATTATTAAAGATTTCACTTTTACACATTTTATATTTATTTTTATTATTTTATATTATTCGTCTTATGAAAAATTAATAGTATTCATATATTGTAAAGCACTTGCCAAACAGATATTGCCAGAAATTCTTTTAATAAAATTCAAATACCTATTGAAAACACCTTTACTTTCATAACTATTGAAAAACTATTTCCAACAGCTACGGAAGTTAATGTAAATTAATTACGTGAACACAGCAATGATAATGCCGTTTCTCACAACCAATGAACCGCGATGTGAAATATGAAACAATTAAATTTTTAATAACTTTCTTCCTAGAGATTCAATTATTCATCTTAATACTTTATTATACTTATCTACTTATTATTTTTCTGTAGATCTTATAATTATTTAAAGAAGTTCCTTAATTTTCGTTGTCATTTTGCTGATATTGACTGTTTCTGATATCCCTACGCGGTTTGTTTGAAATTGCATGTATAAGGGCAGAGACGTATGTTAGAGAGATTGTCTAGTGAATAAAATCACATTCAAGATGGAATTGCGTTAAAGATTGAAATTTCCTAATATGTAGAGTGTGTTAGAACCCAATTTATGTAACGGATTTCTTTAAGCCGCTGTAATATCGAGAAAAAATCAGAACTTTTTCATTTAAATTGAAGGAAAAGGAACATGCCATCATTCGCCATGAACAAATCGCTGTGAAAAAAGATATCCAAGTCTCAGCACGTTGTCAAGCTTTGCTAATATTTTAATTTTTTAACATCCCCTTAGATTTTAGCATTATTTATCATAGTATACGAAATGAAAAATCTCTAGACAGTATTTTAGAATGGAGGCTTCCAGCTTTAACTTAAAAGAAAAATCGTCGCCCTGTGCTAATCTGTTACTGAGTAATCATCTTCTAAACTCGAATTTTCGTCACAAATTTCATAATAAAAATTTATCATTCCTTTGAGTAATATATTTAACCACCTGTTTTTGAAAGCTTCAGCTATCAGTACACCACATTTTGTCAAAATCCAGTTCTACATATTATCTATAGAACTCACTTAATGTTTGTTTTTAGGAAACAGAAAAGTTTAAACGAAAGTATTGATAAGTGTTATTAACTTCTTACTGTATAGGATCCGACATTTTCTTTGAATACATTGAATAAGTGAACTTTATTTCAGTGTAATTGGGTTCCAATCCCAAAGACAAGCAGTCAATCTTGTAACCGATGTAGAGGATACTGTCTGCGGCCGCGCGACCATCGTAAGGCACATTAGTTTGCGTTTTTGCTTGTTTGAAATAACAATTATATCGCGGTAATCCGCGTTTCGTTACCTCTAGAAACCTGTATCGATAAAAGCGGCATAAAATAACGCTTATTATTTTCTAATGGAGCCTCAACTTCTTGTGTTTTGGCCACACCTTACACATCGCTCGCCGTTGGCTTACTAGTTGCGATGCATTGTCTGTGTTTAATTTCGGCTAAAATACAAGGAGTCCGGTGTACATACATACAATACTAATTCATACGTATATATTAAAATTGCAATGTCAATCCTGGGATGCTACAACGGGCCATTGAATATCCCAATCATGTGTTATCTATTTTTGGCTACAGCTAAAAAGTAGTAACATTATCTCAAGCACTATTGTTGTTTATTCCCGTCATTATTCAGTTATCATATGCGATATTGCAATACCGTGCTTAATTGAAGAGCTCAGGGCAAGAAACAGTCAGCTCGATTTTGATATGACTGGCCAATTGAATTATCTGATCGTTCGGAGCAACAATCAGAGCAATCGTAAACAACAGTCATCTTTAAGGTGACCGGTTTTTGAGCGGGATGTGTGCGTCATTCGACATTCAGGCCAAGTACAACTAGGGATCGAGATTTCTATCGCAAACTGAATCATGGCTGTGAAGATGATAGTGATAAATACTACGTTTTGCAAAGCAAAAGAATGTTTACTAGTCACAAAATTATATTAAATAAAATATATCATTCATGGTTTTCTAATGTTTTCAAAAGTTCCAATACACATCAAGATGTTGACAATTCAGTTAACCGATTGTTGTTCCGAACGTATCTATAAAAATTAGAGTAAATTTTTGGGATTATTTAATCTCGCTCATAGGTAACGAACAGTCAGAAACGGCTCATGATTTGATCGCTTATTGCACTGAACTAACTAACGAATTTTTTCTGTTACTGTCACGTCGAAGTCGAGTTGACCGTTCCCGGAGCTCTACAATTACAATGGCAGTGCCAAATGACATTGGCGATGATTGTATTAGTAGAACAGTTTTAAAGCGTGTAAGGTGCATCAGCTCGGGATACGCAATGGCCGATTATATGTAGAATTTACATTTACATACATCATTTTTAGCGTGATATTCCAGCGTATTTATGATTTTAAGCGTAGTATTCCAGATTGAGCCACTAGTAGACTGCTGATTTTATGCATTTATAAAAAGACTGAGTATGTAAAAAACGACAAAAAACGGATAGTAGACAAACGTGCATGAAGCATCAACAGCAAAGTACGTACGGTGACTCCTATTGATATTAGTACACATTTAAAAATAGAATAACTTTTTTAATACTGAATCAAATAACTTAATTTTTGGTGGTATGTTAGAAAGCTTAGTTTACTATATAATTTATAACAAAAAATAGTTAAAATTACTATTCGTAGAACAACCGAGTAAAATATAAAATAAAGTAAAGGACATGATTTTTAACTTTTTTTTGTTAGGTATTCTAATAAAAATTTGGAACGTCCCGTTCGCAGATTTAAGTTATGTGCATGTATAAAGTTTGATAGAAATCGGTGAGAGCATAAAAAAATTAGGTACATCGAAAGATGTAAAAGTCCTTTAATTAATCTTAATTATTGACCGAAAGTCGTGAAAAACTGAGATTTTTGAAATTTATAATCGCTTATAACTTACAGCAGTATTAATCGAATTTGATCAAATTTTGTACATGCATATAACTTACATAGATCTACAAACGGGACGTTGCAAATTTTTATTGAAGACCTTAATAAAAAAGTTAAAACTCATATCCTTCACTTTATTTTATATTTTACTCGATTGTTCTACGAACAGCAATTTTAACAATTTCTTTAGACATTATATGTATAATAAATAGATCGTCTAACATACGACAGAAAATTAAGTTATTTAGTCCAATAGTAAAATATTATTCTGTTTTGAAATGTCTAAGAATATTACTGAGAATCGCTATATAAATTGTGTACGTAAAAGACATGAAAAAACGACATATAGTGGATAAAAATATATTTAAGTAGCAGCAGCAAAATACGTATCATAATGTTTACAGGATTAAAGAACGTTCTTATTAAATATAATTTTTAAAATTACATAACAATCCGCAATCTAATTATTAGTTAATTAGTGAGCTAAGTAATTTGTAGTTAAGCTCACGAATGTTTTGTGAAAGTCTGGGAAGAGTTTGAATAGGAAAGCTGAAGTAGAACCAGTTTACTTACTGTTTTGCAAAATCCTCATTGTCGGTTAAATAAAGAATATCATCCACGTATTTCAGAAGTTCTCCTTCTCGCGAAAAAACGGCCAACTCCTCGTTCAGAATAAAACTGTAGTAGATATCTGATAATATTGGCGACAGCACTGCACCTTGAGCGACCCCTTTTCGTAAAGTGTACGTTTTTCCTTTGATTTTTATCTACGAATTAAATTATTTTTATTATTACATTACTAAACCAATTCGTCCAAACGTGTACAATTCTACACATGTTGCTTCATACCAACTGTTCGAAAATGCATTTCGATATGTTTTCAATCAACATACTCTTTCGTACCCACGAACTACCGCCACTGACTGAGTAGAACGTGCCAGGTGCGAATGGCAACGCCAAGTCAGGATGACAACAATACTGTTTGTAACAGGTAGTAATCCTCGTCTGCTGGCGGCTTTTAACAGCATACATTTTCAACGTCAGTTTTTCTGGTAAATCTTTGGAGAGCCATCTCACCATTTCGAATAATAACTCTAAACGTGGAACACAAATTAACTCGTACATACAGCGAAGTCCATACATATTCATACACATTTCACAATTGAATAACTTTTTTAATGTTGGACTTAACGAATTAATTTTTGCTTACATTATGTTATGTACCGTATTTTATCTACATCCTATGCTATTAATTCGATAAGTAAAAATACTCTACAAATAATAACATTTCCTTTAACATTTTATATTAATTACACTGTCCAACACAAAAAAATTTGCAATACCCATCACCTGTTTCTTAGTTTAGAGTTTCTCGTACTGAACACAAGTCTGGAAACAGAATTGCTCTATCACGTACAATTTCTGAAAAATCGTTGTTTTTGTAAAATGCATGTTTTTCGGGAAAAATGGTGTTACAGGAAAATTAAGAGTAACCTAAGAGTACCTCGGCAATATGTATACGCAGGCATCGCATAATTTTTCCCTCGGCCGGAAAGTGGGGACGACGCGACCATGGTGGGGTCTGGTACTTGATGGGGATATGCTAGGAATGATCAGCGAAGGCGCATGAGGGGAATAGTAGTGGGGCTCGAAATACGGGCGAAAAAGAGGGGAAGCGAGCCATGCGGGAAAAAATATGCGCACCCTGTAGTATACGAAATGTCGCGCGGTCCGCCAGTGCCGTAGGTATACATATCCGATACATTTGTGGTACCCTCTTAATAGCTTTTTATAAGTATTACGGTCCGAATTCCGATTTTTATAGTGTGTTATACAGGGTGTAAACCTACAGGTGGGCAATATTTTAAGGACGTGTTCTATGGTCAAAAATAAGACGAAAATCAAGAGAGAGAAAATTGCGTTTGGGGCTTCGTTAATTAGTTATTAACGTTTAAAAATTTGGCGTTTCTGCCCCTGAAATAGAGCAATCCGACCTATACCGGCGGGTGTTTTTACCGTACGCGCAACTGTCGTCGGTCAATGCATGTCGATAACGATGATCAGGATCGTACTTATAATTTGTGGNCCACAAATTATAAGTACGATCCTGATCATCGTTATCGACATGCATTGACCGACGACGATCAGCTGCGCGTACGGTAAAAACACCCGCCGGTACAGGTCGGATTGCTCTATTTCAGGGGCAGAAACGCCAAATTTTTAAACGTTAATAACTAATTAACGAAGCCCCAAACGCAATTTTCTCTCTCTTGATTTTCGTCTTATTTTTGACCATAGAACACGTCCTTAAAATATTGCCCACCTGTAGGTTTACACCCTGTATTACATGCAGTCGTTATGTTTACTACACATTTATTTTTCTATAAATACATAAAATCTGTAGTCTATACACCATGTAATAATTTCTCTAATGCCTAAGAAAAAATTAATTCATTAAGTCCAATAATATAAAGGTTATTCAATTTTTAAATGTATACAAGTATTTCTAGACATAATTATATAACAAAATTCGCTAATTGTCTCCGCAACATTTGTTAAATAAATACTATCGAAACAAAATTTTTATACATTAGGACAATAACATTTAGCATCATTAAACTGATACCTTGTATGATGGAGCCGAATGCATCCACTACGTCACAGTAAACCATATACGTTTTCTTGTTGCGCCTCGATTCAACGACCGACTTCCATTTTTTTTCGAAGTCATTGACTCCAAATTTCGTCACATATAACTGTTTCAAAAAATTCATGATCAGTGTTTTCTGCTGTACAAACTCCTTACTCCTAATTACAAACACATAAAAAATGAACGAACAACCTTTCGATTAACAAGGGATTAAATTGTAAATTAATTCGCTGCCTTTTATTTCAAATTATATTCAGAAAGTGAAGTAATATTTAAGGCTACTGGTACTATGTATTATGATAGTTCTAAACGTGTGGATATGAAGGCATCGAATTATTTTATACACTTGGTAAATTTTTTTAAACGTACTTCTCTGTTTTTAATATCGGCCGCACGTTGGAGAACTTGGGAATTAATTTGTAAATGCCTATCGGCAGACAGGATGAACTGACATTATTGACTTTTAGAGCATTAGTACGCATTTTTTTCTGCAAGAAATTCCTTTGAATTCGATTCCAGTCTGAGCGTATGATAAATAATCTCTCCGTATTGTTGTGGATTGTTATGTGGAAATTTTGGTATATCACTTTAAACAGAAACCCGATGAAGAACCACCTTATAAATTTCAGTAATATTAACCATTTGGTCTTTACGTTTTCTATGCCGCTTACCCACTTGATGCAAGCAATCTAAAATTTATATATAACATTCGAACCAAGAATGTATACTATGATGTTAGTTTCGAGTTATCCATAAATTATTTCAAGTCTTTAAGAAAATATACATTGCTAATCTTACTTTTTTTTTATAAAAAGAATGGTCGATAAAAGAAGTATATCCCTCAATTTTCAATATAAACAAAGCATTCAAAAGTACAAAATTATATTTATGGATTAAACAAAATTAAATCGTTTAGTTAATATCCCTTTACTTTTAAATTTAGTAATAAGTAAATTAAAATGTATATGTAATTATTGCAAAAACACAAAATTTGATATATTTTATGGACAGATCTTTGAGATAAATTACGTACATCTAATTTTGAAACAACTGTTTTCACGTTGAGTAGCTTGAAATGTGGTAAATTCAATAAACGAATCATAGTGTGTTTAATCTTCTTCAAGTTTCGTAATTTTCCAAATATTTCTAATGGAACCACCTTAGAGAACACGAGCTCAAGAAAATATATCAACTTCTCTCTAGTGATCGCATATTGGCATATCGGATTTGCTTGTTGCTTACATTTGTTCTCATGCGCTACATGACTTAATACGCTAGTATAATGAAATTTTTCGTGCCTTTTCTTGAAATCTTCCAAGAGAGAAGAAATCAACGGAATAGAAATTTCGTAATCAACAATAACGATGTCCTTTCTTGTTTCTTTTATAATATGTTCATAAAATTCGTTACCGCTTCTACATTCATCGAGCATGCAGGCCAATGAATTATTTTTATAACTTGGGAAGCCTAATGGCGAAGAATATAAGCGAACGGATACCGATAAATCCTTCGGGAATATGGTTTCGCATGTCTCGTCTATCTTACGTGTGGCTGAAACTACAATTTTATTTTTAGAACTCGTCCCAAATCATATGAATGGATAGAAATTGATCAATTCATAGAAGTATGTATGTAAATGTTAATCACACACCTACAAAATGTTTTTGATTAATATGGGAATATGATATTGAATAAAAACAGTTGAAAGTTGAAAATATGAGAACATATAATTCATTGCAGTAGGATTTTAAACTTTGAACATTCAAGATCTGTATGCCTTAATTTACTTGATTGAAATAAATTTTAACGAATACTTAAATGGAATATTCTTTAATTAAGCATGAAAATTCAATCGTTTATTCTAATTTCGTAAATTACATGATTTTTAGGGGCACGTAAAATACTGTGTTAGGGATTCCTATGTCTTCTTGAATCTAGATGAAATATTAAATTTTGTTTAAGAAGGTATTATGGTCTATTCCCACTGCGTTTTCCGCTCCAAGATTCCGCTCAATCCCGGCGAGCGAAATTGGGGTACCCAAGAGCGGAAATATAGATAGCCAGTACCGTAGTTAAGGGAAATGCAGATATACGGAAAAGCGTGTAAAAGAAAAAATGTGTGGGTGACATTAAGCGAGCCCGGTTTGTTGTGCTCGAGTAAAGGACCTTTCCCACTGTCCACCGGCCCGGAAAGACAGGGCCGAAACATGAAGTTGTGAGGTATAGGGAAAAGCGTGTAAAAGCGTGGGTGCTTCAAAGGGGCCCACTGGCCTGCAGAGCGAATAGGTCAACTGTCTACGTCTCGCTCGGTTATGCCGGTCGGATCTCTCCCTCACTCCGGCCGGCATTTCGGGGCTCACTGGCCTGCAGAGCGAATAAGTCAACTGCGCATGCTCGAGATCCGACCAGCACGGCCGAGCGAGACGCAGACAGTTGATCTATTCTATTCGCTCTGCAGGTCAGTGAGCCCCTTTGAAGCACCCACGCTTTTACACGCTTTTCCCTATACCTCGCAACTTCATGTTTCGGCCCTGCCTTTCCGTGCCGGCGGACAGTGGGAAAGATCCTTTAGACCCCTGCTACAGCGAGAGGGGAAAAAAACCGCGGAGAGCAGAAAAGAGACTGAGCAAAGCGGAAAACCTGGAGATCGGGAAACCTCGGCCGATCTCAAGGTGTGCCGCTTTGTTTGGTCTCTTTCCCGCTCTCCGCGGTTTCTTTTCCCCTCTCGCTTTATTTTCCGCTCCCGAGGTTTGCCATTTTGCTCGGTCTCTTTTCTGCTCTCCGCGGTTTTCTTTCCCTCTCGCTTTAGCAGGAGTCTTACTCGAGCATAAACGGGCCCGCTGAACGTTACTGTCATGTAAGTGATAAGTAGTTGGTAGTGTTTTAGGGTTAGTAGAGTTAAGTTGGTAGTATGGTAGAGAATAAGAAGCAAGCACAGATTAAGAACGTGTTATGGAAAGTTAATAAAAGATTTTAATACATTGGAGCTTAAGTGGTCATATACAATTATTGTTCCTGACTCCACATACAGCGTATTGAGAAACTTTACATGGCGCTGCGGATAGGATGTCAGATAAGTAATAGGATTAATGGAAAGTGATGAAAGAAAGGACATCCCGCCACGTTACGGAAGTCCGCCATTAAATACAGATTCTTCATCCAACAAAAGCGACGAGGAATTTTTTTTATCAATATCACAAGAAGACGAAATGGATTTGTCCATGCCTCCTCCTCCACCCCTCTCATTTGAAGGGAACTTGAAAGAAAATTGGCGAAAATGGAGAGAGAGGTTTGAAGTGTATATGACGGCAACTGCCCTTGATACGAAAGATGAGAAGAGAAGGATTGCTGTCCTTCTTCATCTAATCGGTCCAGAAGCTCTTGAAAAATTCCGCATATTTACGCTTACTGACGAAGAGAGGAAAGTTTACATCAATGTGATGCGTGCATTTGAGGAATTCTGCTCTCCGAGGTCAAACGAGAGTGTGGAAAGATATGTATTTTTCACAAGAATGCAACAGCAAGGAGAAACATTCACATCCTTCATAACCGACCTCAGAAAACTCAGTACCACGTGTAACTTCGGCGAACTGAGGGATAGCTTAATAAAAGACAGAATCATTTGTGGAATGAATAATACTGATCTCAAAATGCGACTTTTGAGAGAAGAAAATTTAGACTTGGATAAGTGCATGAAAATGTGCAAGTCGGCTGAATTATCAATGGCTCAGCTTCAAACAATTGAAGGATCAGACACGGAGGTACACTCGATGAGAATGACTGGATCATCAAATGTGGATAGGCGACAGAAGATGGAACCACGCCATCGGCCAGCTTCTTCAACGAACACCGTTTCGACTTCCAATTGGGGAGATAGGCATTTGATGGAGTCATGGGACACCAATAAGGGTCAGCAAACGCGGAGATGCAGCAGATGCAACAGGACTCATCCCATTCGACAATGTCCAGCATATGGTAAAGCATGTACAAATTGTAAGAAATTAAATCATTTTGCAACTGTATGTAGGTCAAAGCGAGTCGATGTGCTTGAGAATCAAGATAATCTTGATGAAAATCCACAAAATGTAAACCTCCATGAGCAAGTAGAATCGTTATTTATAGCCTCGATTGTTGAGAATGGGAAAGATTGGTGTGAAACAATAACAATCAATAATAAATGACAATTAAAGGTTAAATTAGACACAGGTGCACATTGTAATGTAATTCCCTGTGAAGTATTAAAGACTATGTATGACAACAAACCTGACATTAAAAATACAAATGTTAAATTAAGTGCTTATGGAGGTAAATCAATTGAGGTGCTTGGCAAGTGCAATCTAACATGCAAATTCAAAAACAGAAATGACCAAGTACTCGAATTTATTGTCATAGATGAAAAGAAAGACGTTCCTACAATTATAGGGTTACCTTCTCTAACAAATTTAAACCTTATAAAAAGAATTGACACAATTGAAAGAAGTCTTAATAAAACGCGCATAATGGATGAATATGGAAAGGTGTTTAACGGAATAGGATGTATAAGTGATTTTGAATATGAAATAAAATTAAACAAGAATGCGAGAGGTTGTATAATGCCATGCAGAAAAGTTCCCATAGCTATCTTGGAGCCTTTGAAATTGGAGCTGGAGAAAATGAAGGAACAAGGAATAATAAGCGAGGTTAAAGAACCATCAGAATGGGTTAATCATCTTGTAATAGTTAGAAAACCTAATAATTCATTAAGGCTATGTTTAGACCCTGTTAATTTGAATAAAAACATCCAAAGGGAGTACTTTCAAATTCCAACTTTTGAAGAAATTTGTGCAAGAATATCTGGAGCAAAGATATTTAGTACATTAGATGCTGATAAAGGGTTTTGGCAAATAAAATTGGCAAAAAGAAGTACAGAGTTGGTAACTTTCAGTACTCCATTTGGAAGGTTCAGATTTCTAAGAATGCCATATGGGATCTCATCTGCATCGGAGGTATTTCAAAGATGTTTCAGTGAGGTGTTCGGAGACATTGAAGGAGTAGAAATTTACATAGATGATCTATTAGTATGGGGAAGGGATGAAAAAGAGCATGATGAAAGACTAAGGAAAGTGTTAAAGAGAGCTGAAGAAAGGGGTGTAAGATTTAATCCAAAGAAATGTAATATTGGTGTAAAACAAGTAAAATATGTAGGCCACATATTCACAGAAAAAGGAATTCAACCCAGTGACGAGAAAATCAAAGCAATCGTTGAAATGAGAGCACCGAGCAACAAGCAAGAATTGGAACGTTTTTTGGGTATGGTCACGTACGTTGGGAAATTTATATCTAATCTATCGAGTATCAATGCCGTGTTGCGTAATTTAACGAAAAAAAATGTAATATGGAACTGGGATTCAAATGCGGAGAAAGCATTCAATGAACTGAAATCGAAGCTTATAAATAAACCAGTACTCAAGTTCTTCGACGTACAAAGACCAGTGACACTCTCAGTTGATGCTTCACAGAATGGATTAGGTGCTGTCATTCTACAAGAAAACTTACCAGTAGCCTATGCCAGTAGATCATTGACAGACACAGAAAAAAATTATGCTCAAATTGAAAAGGAAACATTGGCTATTAGTTTTGCATGTAATCGATTTAGACAATATATCTTTGGCAAAACAGTCACTGTAGAAAGCGACCATAAACCACTCGAAGCGATATTTAATAAACCTCTTAATGAATGTCCCCCAAGATTGCTTAGAATGAGACTGTCATTGCAAAATTTTGACATTGTAATACGATACAAACCCGGTAAAGAATTGCTTCTTGCTGATGCATTATCTCGTGCATATCTGCAGAATGGAACTGATGATCTTGAAGAAGAGATAGAAGCTCAAGTATGTTTCCTTATGGATAATTTCCCGATAACACTAGATAAAAAAGAGGAATTCAAAAGAGAATGTCTAATCGATGAAGAAATGCAACTTTTAGTAGAGTATATCAAGAGAGGTTGGCCAAATGAGAAGTCAAAATTAATAGATATTCTAAAACCGTATCACAGTTTCCGCGAGGAATTAAGTATAATAGACGGGTTAATATTTAAAGCCCAGAGGCTTGTTGTACCAAAGAAGTTCAGAAAGCAACTGTTGGAGAAAATACATTATGCTCATCTAGGGAAAGAAAAATGTAAGATTCGTGCTCGTGAGATTCTGTATTGGCCTAATATGAATAAACAAATAGAAGATCTTGTAGATAAATGCCCAACATGCGCTACATACAAAAAAGCAAATGTTAAAGAATCTCTGATTCCACACCAAATTCCAGATGGTCCGTGGGAAACAGTGGGCATGGATATATTTCATTTTTGCAATGCTGAATGGTTGTTAGTCATAGATTATTTTAGTAAATTTGTAGAAGTCATGAAACTGGAGAGTATGCACAGTACCACAATTGTTGCAAAACTCAAATCAATTTTCTCCATATTTGGAATTCCTAAAAGAGTAATTTCAGACAATGGGACTCATTTTAATAATATAAATGTCAAAGAATTTGCAGAAACATGGAACTTTGAACATATTACG